TGAAGAATGATTCAAGAGATGCATCGTCTGGCTGATGGACGGGCCAAACACAGAAGTAGGCCAGTGAAGTTCAGAGAGCTCAAGACCTTGGTCCCTGAACGATAAACCGAGTTTTGCGAGTTTAGGATAACTTGAATAAATTTAGGATAAACTTAGGCAGGCTTATGATTAGTTTACCTTAATCTCCCTATGTGTTCCATGTCGGGCTTGAAGACCCTTTTCTTTTCACCCTGAAGTTTCTCTGGATCAAAAAAAATTGGTGACGGCGGCCATTTCAAGGTTGAGGGGTGCCAAATCCAGAGGAAGCTGCGCCAGAAACTTTTTGCGGCTTGTAAAATCTCCCCTGGAAGTGTCAACCTGTATCGTTTCACTCATGCCGACGTATATCCAGCACTCGAGAACACCACCCTCTGAGACATCCATGACCTAATTAAGAGTCCTGACCTCCGACAATTCTGCGTTGAAATGCTCGAAAGACTCGCTGGTATTTCCTTTAACGGGAACGACGGCTGGACTCCTGTTTTCCCTGTTTTCGATCCTCAGATCCAGGGCATCGTCAACAGCACCTGCTTGTTTCTAACTCTTCTCCTATAAGCCTGGGACAAAGCTGTCCGTGAGACTCTTGCGTGGAGTGAATTGAATATGAGGGGCATTATTCGATCCCTGGTGTACTCCTTCGCGAGTAGCGAGTCATCGATCTGAATCTTCACCCCATCATCGACATCAATGATTATCTAGAGTTCTATGGAACTATTATCAACGCCGAATGCATGGTCTATGAAATTTCCTCTACCCTTACACACAAAACCTAAGATAGCCGCTGAGTGTCTGAATCACAGCGGTAATGGTAGCAGGACCTACGAGATTCGCGGGGGTAGTTTGGCTGCAGTGTGCTATATACAGATATTGGAACGAAGGTTCAGGTATTACAGGAGCGACACTAGATGCAAGGAATATGGAATACAGACAGTAGGTGAGGGCGAATAAACATACATAGGGTACTTCAATCTCCTCTCTTCTCCACTCTGAGCGTGAAGTCTCGTTCACAATATCCTTCCGTATCTCATTCAGGAGGGCAGAAAATCTCGTGAGAGTCAATACGAAACTTTCGGGCCACAGTGCTATCAGGGTTCGTATTCTCTCTTCTATACATGCCAGCACTGATATGAGCGGCCAGTGCAATTGAAAAAGAAGAAAGGCGTAATGGTAATCACTGTGAATCTCGCGGAAACAAGGGTTGCCTATATCATCTTCTTGAGATGGAAGACTATTGTCGCAGCATATATGCGAGATATCATAAGCAAGAAGCACTTCGCGTCCGTGAATGACCCTGTTCATGAAATAGATATTGTACTCGGCTGTCAGTTGTTAAGACAGACCCTTCTTAGTGAACTCCAGGTTGCTGGGAACCATCATGGTTTCTAACCATATAACCCAAGGTCCGCATGGCTTTTTCATTATGATCTGAAGTTGCACTGAGTATAACTTATCATTGTTCCTTTACATCGGGGCTGATTGTGGCCGTACCATTGGTCTCAATTGACCTTATAAAGTACAAGCATAGAGTAATGTTATAGGTAGGTTACAGATAATGCAGACAATGCAGACAATGCAGACAATGCAGATAATGAATTTCTGGCAGTCTTATTTTAGGAGGAGATGCTAAACCGAGAATGATTCCTTCAATCTGTAAAATAATCCTCTTTATAGAAGTCCTTCGTAATACGTAAAAGATCATGGTACATGGCCCAGACAACTTCATTAAGCTCTTGTTGTCTGTAAACCCGGTAATATGAAGATGTCCCTGTACGGTTCCCCTATCTTTATACTCCGTACATTACAGGGAATCAATATAGACATTATGAAAGAGTCTCCTCATTAATATTGTTTCAGAATCTCGCTTCCAGAACGAGATGGCAATTAGAGTATCTATATATGAGCATCTGTGTCTAGGCGCTGGTTTGTATACCATTATTCAGTCTCTTCTATGGGGACAGACTGGGATAATTGTCTGTACCCAAACATGTTCAATAAATCGCCCAGCCAATGCACTTGCGACCTCATACAACTAATACCGAGCAAGTAGACGATATCATCACTCCTCTTTTACTGTCCTGAATATTATATCAGGAAGCTCACTGTGAAAAGTAGGGGTGGTATCTATTAGTCCATGAGATTAGAGAAGACAAAAGGCAACCCTCGGTGCTGTTTTGGATTTCAAAGCCCCTGAAATCTCGAAGGCAATGGTATTCTTGGTTGAAGCATGATTCTAAAAGGTATATTGAGAGTACAGTACATCCAGCCTTTGTCTCCGAGTGTGGTCGTCAAAGTCTCAAGGTAGAAGAACAATGAAGGCCCCTAGATCCATAGCTTAAAGATGTGAAAAGAGGAGAGGAAGCATATCAGTCAGCCTGGGTCACTTCAATCGACGTGTTGTCAATGTTCATTTAATCAACAGTGACTCACGGATCAAAAGTGTCTGGCCCATCACTGAATTCCTGAACCGCAGTACCCTAAGGATCCTAAAGACTCAAGACTCAAGACACAGACAATTCAGTCATCCCGCCTATAAATTCCTCACCAGATCGCTTCTTCCAACCTTTCTTCCTTCAACCAACTTCTTCATCAGCCAACCAACCAACCCTCATCTGAGCAAGCATCACCGCGTTTAATCTTCACTTGACTTCGCTGTAGCTTCGCATTATTTCTTAGAAATCAAGATAACTTGATTACACAAAAGCACTTTGCCTTCACTGGAACAAGCATCGCCTCACAGATCTTCCCTTCATCCATCTTATCCTTTGCTTTGCTTCATCTTGGTCAGATTGCCTGATCATACGAACACGCTTTGCTCTCACTTTATCTGTGGCTACCTTACAGTCTTTCGTCTCACATAGCGGCAGTTCAACAGTTTTGTAGCGCCAGTATATCACGATGGGTTTCAAAGACACACAAGACTACGAGCTGTACACCTCAATGACTGGTGGTCGTCCTGATGAGAAGCTACCACCGCTTGACTTCAAGGTTCGTGATCACTCCCTCTCACTTATACACATAATGAAACTAATCAGTACAGGATGGATCTCTCCAACTCGTGCCTGGAGAGGTCTGGTGTCGATGGCGCGAGGATATCAGCGGAATCATTTGCAACTCTGTAGGTCTTACCCTCAAATCATCGTATTTAACCCGAAGGCTGATAAGAGTAGAGCGAATATCATGACGAAGGATCCCTGCGCCGACACTATGAAAGAGTTCATGGTGCAACCCTCAGCGCGAAGCATCCGACTCACGGGGAAAGGAACGAAGCGATGATCTCGAGTAAGAACCCCTCGCTTGTCTTTTTGAGACGATCCATTTATCTGACCCCTGGTTAAATAGGATGGTACGCAGACGTTGTCAACGGACTTCAGCCCTCCTGGCCCCGTTCTGTTCAGACTGCTCGACTGGCTGTCCAGGACCTACCTAGGGGTTCCTATTCAAACCAACTGGACTACCAGAGTGCCATCAGACTCACTCGTCTGTTCAACAAGCATAGTCCAGACATGCCGCCAAAAGTCGGCGAAGGTCTACGTGGCTTGCTTGTCAGCGGTGCTTTCCAGCACACGGGCAGATCTGATGAAAAGCCTATCAAGCATCAGCTCAGCAAGGAGATGTTTGATGCCATCAACAACGAGCCCAAATGGATGAGCATCACCTACGAACGGTGGTTCATCTTGGTCGGCGTGTATGGTGTGAAGACACTGCGACAGGAGTGCCAAGGCATTGTCGACGCCGTTCTCACTCGTTGCGGAGAAGAGCTCGATAAGAGCTTGGCCTACCAGCACGGCCCAGACGATAGCAAACCACACTTCAGTGTTTTGATCGCCCAAATGTCTGACACGATCGCGAAGCAACAGAAGGAAATCGAACACCTCAAATTGGCCGTGGGAGTGGAACCTGATGACAATTAAACTGTACGGCAGCCAAAAGAATTGAGAGCTATGCGGGTATGAAGATGGTAGACTCTATTAAGAAGGTATATACTGCATACTGGCGTGTGCAAGAGCACAGAGACAAGTGGTATAATGGCCGACAATCATCACGTTCGACGGATTAATCATGCGGTATAGGAAAAAGGGGACAGACAATTTGTTATCAGAGACAAGCCTTCTCTCTTACAGCTAGCGATAGACAATAGGTTCACGGATTTGAGAAGTTGAAACTATTCTACTGTATCAATTCGTGAAGTTTCCATGTTATACTTTGCAAGATACCGCCGTGGCGTGGTCCGTAGTATGGTATGTAGCATTGTCCACGCCGTGACCGTCCAAGAGCACATATCGACATCAATCATGCAATGGCAATATTCACGATTTGAGATTCAAATAGTCTACTGTCCGTTTCAATTCCATTTAGTACGGCCTGAGAGAAGTACAGACATATAATTCCGACTTTTCCATCTATAGCTTCCTTAATGATTTGAGGGTGAAGTGTTTGGCACAGGTCTCTGGGCAATTGTTGAATTCTCTGCACCCTTTTAATCAGGAAGACATGATTGCGAAGCGCCTGGAAGTACTTCATATTCACCAAAGACCGCGTTAACAAATTCGTCTTCTGTCTTGTGGGTGAGGCTGGCTGGTATCGTCGTGTAAATTGATGCTGTATATCATACTCTCACCAAATACGGACAACATTCTCACAATCCATGACAAGACCACGAATGAGAATAGCAGAGACTACTTAGAGTATGGGTTTATTGTTTGGGCCGAGTACCTGTATTCCAATTCACATTATACAAAACCCCTCTTGTCCCAGATCACCAGTGTCTTTAATCCCCAAGTACCAAAGCATAAGACCGATATCTTATTAATAATTGTCCAATAATTAATACAGAAAGTCTTTTGGAAGAATCCAGGCGGTAAAACTGAGACATATCAGCTAGGAAAAGAAGATTGATTGAGCTTTGGAGATACTTACTGTGCTGGTGGAGTTCATCTTAGTTGTAACCCATCGCCTCATCCTTATCTGACTCGATATCCGCCACTGAAGTTTTCCAAGACATTTTTGTCTGTAGTGGAAGAGATGTAATTGCCTGGATCGAAGTCCTGCTCTTCTTCCTCTTCATCGCTCGAGAGATCCATCAAGTCGTAATCCGAGCCAGAAGAGTCAGAACTTGTCGAGATATTATCCTCGTCGATGATCCTCTGAAAGATGATTATTTGAGTCTCTAAATACTCATTCTCTCGGCTCTGGTCCTCGAGCTCCCTTTCCTGTTTCGAGATCTGGGCCTTCAACCCATCAATCTCATGCGTTTTGTCATCGATGGTGTTATGGGAGACATTTTGCTCATAAATGAGATCTTTGAATTGTTTCTCTTGCCGACCGATCTTAGAATTGAGATCGCGGATGCCAATGGCTTGTTCATGGATAAAATTCTGTAGTATGGCGGTTTCCTTGTCCCTTTGCACGATTTGAGCTTGAATGTCTTCCTTGTCTGCATTCAGCTGGGCGACGCGCGCTGTCAACTTGGCAATGATTTCATCTTTGGCCCTCAAGATATCGTGGGGATCGGAAGGGGCCCGGTAAAGAGTGATGCGCACTCCAGCTTCTGGGGTGGAAGACATGCCGAGAGATTTTCTGTCATGGTTAGCTTCCTTATACGACGGACATTGCAGGGACAAGCTTGGACGAACCGAATACAGGAGTTCTTGCAGATGAACTGATAACCTTGATTTGATAACAGTGCAAGTTACCAGTCAAGTTAAGCAACGATAAAGTGCTGTTTGAATGATGAACTTTAGTGATGGGTTGACGCGTAAAGAGTGTGATGATCGAGAAAAAGAGAAAGAAGAGAAGAAACTTCGAAGAGTGGCTTCATCCACATGTATTTGGACTTTTGTAGAATAGGCTTGGACACTGCAAGCTGGAGATGCAGGAGTTTTCATGCAGTGCAGTGACAAGGAGCGTCAATGGTTGTGAATCAAGCAGCGTCAAGTAGCTGTGACTCAATACAACGAAGCAGACAACGATATCTTAGGGTCTCAGGCAATGCAGCTGAAAAAAAAGTCCAATCTATCAGCACCCTATTGACCACCAACAGACATCATCGGGATCTGGCAATATGCCACCAGCGCTACAGCAACACTGTCACTGCCAGAATACAAATTCATCATTTCCTCGTTGAAATCCCACTGTGGATGGTTGTAACTCAAGTAATAAAACTTTCTACCTTCAGTAACATCCCCGACAACATACGTTGCCGGTTTCCTCGCGCCGTTTCAGCCAACCGATGCTGTCATTGACCAGGTTGCCACGAAGGTGGTTACGGACAATGTCAACAGTTGCAGACAAATCCATCATGAGTGTGAATCACGGAGGTAGAGAAGACCTGGAACTTAGTTTCTGGGTCTCTGGGAACAGTCAAAAGTAAGACCAAAAAAGAAGAGTCTACACTGAACAAACAGAAAGGCTTATCATTGGTAGATTCATCTTTGGTGCTCTTATAAAGCCTGATGCGCTATTCTTATGATGCTCTCGTGATCATTTCATACCTCAAAAGTTCCTTGCTTTAACTTTGACTACTACTTCTTAATGCGCTCGCTCGACTTGTGCTCTACCTCACCCCTGAGGCTACCCATCTTTGCCATGGCATCTTTCATCCTCTTTTGGGCGGCTCTCTCATATCCTCGGCCTCAAACTCTCACTATCTAGATTCATGACAAACATCCAACCAAGCATAGGATTTGTCCGCAATTATAATTTGGCAACAGGCTCGACCTCCTGAGGGCGCGACACTGCCTCCAATGCTTCGACGATGTTCTAAATTAGACTTTTTTGAAGACAAAGAGAACAGCCCTTGTCGCCATTCCATTAGAAGGCAAGCTTCTGTTGGCTAGGCTATTAGAAGAATGTCAACCGGGGGTTTCCCTCAGCTGACGGACAGCTCGGCGTTTGTTAGCAGACAACTTTGATCTGTCTTATATGGTGTTGCCAGAGCCTCTCGATCGTTGCTCCTGACAAGAGAAAACACTCTAGACCTTGAACTGGGTAACGTGATCATAAGGCTCCCCTAAATCTATCCTCAATTTACTAAACCTGCCCTAAGTTTGCTGAAGCTATCCTAAATTTACCTAAGTTATCCTTAACCTACCTCATTCTTCTAATCACTATCGATACCTTGGCATGAATACCTTCAGTTTGACGACCATCACTGGATTTCCTCTATGCCTCAGACCTTATACAGCATCCCAGGAAAGGCTCAAGAACTCTTCTTATGTAGACTATGAGGTACCTACAGGTCTGTGTTAAATATACATATCAAGTACATCGAATCATTTCAGTTGGACTACTCATCGTAGCTTCTCTTGAATCCCTCAGCGTGTCTCTGCTTTTCTTTGTAACGTCAAGTAATGACATATTCCTCCTCAGGGGTGTCTCTATTGTCTTTGATCAGCCATGTAGGAATCCTCGGAATGCGACTGTCTTCCCCGTAAGTTGGGGGTTACCACTTGGCTTAGGGTTTGCCGGAATATCGACCCGGTTCCTTGTCGCCAGGCGGTGAATGCGGCTCATGGTTTCGTTGCTAATAGTGAGGCACCATCAACTGTGCTTATAACTGGTGGTTATATCTACCCTCGAGGATTTCCAGTAATATCCCTGTAAGGGGTCGCTGGAATTTCATTAAACTATTTCCTGTGGTCTCTCCTATCCCTATACACTCTTCCCTTTTCATCACTTTATTTGACATATTTGAGATTACAGCACGCATTAGAACAGTCCGATGTCAAATGAAAGCGTCAAACCGAGTGGTATTGCGAATGTCAACATGTAACACTAAAGTCTGAAAGAGGTTACGATATGGCGGAGAGCAATATCTAGTCTATACACAACACTATCGATACCATCCTAGGTCAAGCATCATCCAAGAGATTCAGTAAATATTTCCCTGAGATTGAGCAACTTCACGCTTCTCACTCTATTTCCATGGCATCACGCCAGCCTGTCCCAGTTAAGGACAAATACACGGATACAACTGGGAGCATGTACTTTTGTGCTGGACATTCATGTTCACAGTGTTCATGTGTTATTTTATGTTTCATCATGTAGTGATATGTCTCTTGTCTCAATCATTCAAATAAATACAGTCCTGAAGGCCATGGCAAATTATGGGCAACGTCATTGTCCCTTACCCTAGGTACCTGATTACCACAAGGCATTTCCTAGAGGAACCAGCGGGAGACTCGCGAAGGCATTCCAACTAACTTATAAAAGTGCCCCTCAACTTTGAACGTCAAGTACTAATATGTTTTAGCTCGAAAAAGGAATACCTCTCAAGGAGGCCTTTTTACTCCAGTTCTGGGATTTGCTGTAAGATGTGATACCATTTTGCCTTATTATCCATATCCGATACCACTATTCTATTACTCAATAACGCCAGTATCTTCTTATCCAAGGACTATAATTCATTCCATCCACCAGAATCGTTGATGCGTTTACGTGACCGCGCTCAGCGGACTCACTCTTCATGTCTCAGTGGTATACAGGCACGACATCGCAGCATAATTCGATAAAAACAGGAAAAAGTCAAGTGCCGAATATTAGTCTAAAGGTTCATCAAATCTACACTAAATCATACTGAATTTACCTAAGTCATTCTGCCATTTAGGATAAATACCCCAAGCTTTCTAGCCTCTCTAGCCTTCATTAGTTAATCGTCAGAATGCGACAATACGTAACATAGCACAGAGTGTATGACACTAAAACTAACTAACGAAACGAACAAATAGGTCCGGCGGGGGATGCTTAGCCTGTGGTTTCCCTCACGAATGCTGTCATTGGATTTTCGATTTGATGCCCGACTGGAGGACTTGCATTACTCCGGCGGGGAAACGATTGGCTTACACGACATGAAGATCATCAACTGAGATACTTATTACACGACAGCAGAATAAGAACTAGAAACTCATAGATTTTGTGAAACATAGAATTGGTCTAATTCTTTTCCCTCTCACTCTCATCCCAAGGCAGTATCATTCATTGCCCTGCCATCTGAAGGCTGGAAATCATCATGTTCATCAACGACAAGACTCGCCTCCGCTACAAATACGATGCTGAGGAACTCTGGATTGAGCCATGGGGTCCGAATGCATTCCGTGTGAGGGCGACCAAAGCCGCCGTGATGCCAACGCAGGATTGGGCCCTTCAGAAACTTACAGAAGTGACGCCAGAAATCTCTATTTCTGACGAGTTTGCATCCATCAAGAATGGCAACATCAAAGCCCGCATCTCCCGCCAAGGCAAATTAATCATTGAGAAAGCGGACGGGAAGTTGATTCTGGAAGAGTACTCTCGTCATAGACGGGATCTTCTCGATCCAAAATGCAGTGCTCTGGAAGTGGAGGCTCGCGAGTTCAAGGGTATCCTGGGAACAGACAACTATCATCTGACAATGCGTCTTGAGAGTGTCAGTCCAGAGGAGAAGATCTTTGGAATGGGTCAGTATCAACAGCCTTGGCTTGATCTGAAAGGACTCGATCTTGAGCTTGCACACCGCAACTCTCAAGCAAGCGTTCCCTTTGCTGTGTCCTCCCTTGGATATGGACTGTTGTGGAACAACCCCGCGATAGGAAGAGCTGTATTTGGCAAGAACATCATGAGCTTCGAAGCATTCTCAACTCAAATCCTTGACTATTGGATTGTCGCAGGGGATACGCCAGCAGAGATCGTTGAAGCTTACGCAGATGCTACTGGAAAAGTTCCCATAATGCCTGAGTATGGTCTAGGTTTTTGGCAGTGTAAGCTCCGATACCAGACACAAGAGGAGCTTCTCGAGGTAGCCAGGGAATACAAGCGTCGCGAAATTCCGATTGATCTAATAGTTATCGATTTCTTCCACTGGCCCAAGCAAGGAGATTGGAAATTCGATTCAGATTACTGGCCTGATCCCGGTGAGTATCAGCAGAAGGCACCGAAGAAAAAGCTTGCTAACGACGATCAGATGCCATGGTGAAGGAGCTCACGGATCTCGGGATCGAGCTCATGGTTTCTATCTGGCCAACTGTGGATAAAACAGCTGAAAATTACCAGTACATGCTGGAGCATGGATATTTGATCCGAACTGATAGAGGTGTCCGTATCGGCCTCGACTTCCAGGGCCAAACGGTACATATTGACACCACAAACCCAGACGCAAGGAAATATATATGGGATACAGTAAACAAGAACTACTACTCCAAAGGCATCAAGACGTTCTGGCTCGATGAAGCGGAACCAGAATATGCAGCATACGACTTTGACAACTATCGATACTGGCTAGGCTCCAACGGGACGATTGGAAATATCTATCCCGTCAACTATGCTCAGGCCTTTTATGAAGGCCAGGAAGCAGCGGGTCAGAAGAACATTGTCAATCTCCTTCGCTGTGCTTGGGCTGGCAGCCAAAAGTACGGAGCTCTTGTGTGGAGCGGAGATATTGCTTCTTCATGGTCTAGCTTCCACAATCAGCTATGCGCAGGCCTCAACATGGGTCTGTCAGGCATCCCCTGGTGGACCACAGATATCGGCGGATTTCATGGAGGCGATCCCAATGATGAAGGCTTCAGAGAGCTCTTTGTGCGGTGGTTCCAGTGGGGCGCATTCTGCCCTGTTATGAGACTTCATGGTGATCGTGAACCTCAACAACCACAGCAAGGGACGACTGGCGGTGCGACATGTCGCAGTGGAGCGCCTAACGAGGTCTGGTCTTATGGCCCTCAAGTTTATGATATCTGTGTCAAGTATATCAAGATTAGAGAGGACCTCCGACCGTACACCCGAAAGCTTATGAAGGAAGCACATGAAAAGGGAACACCAGTCATGCGACCTCTGTTCTATGAGTTCCCTGACGATAAGAAGTCCTGGGAAATTTCGACTCAATACCTCTATGGTGACAAGTATCTGGTCTGTCCTGTATTAAAACCGGGTCAAACCAAGACGGAAGTCTACCTACCAAAGCTCTCAAATGGAGAGAAATGGTCTTCTTTCAACGGTAATGAGTCTTATGAATCCGGAGCAACAGTCACTGTTGACTGTCCTTTGGCTCAGATGCCAGTCTTTGTTCGGGGAGCGTGAGACTTTCGGGTCGCTGGGCATGGTACGTAGAGCACTCTGGCACAGTGGGTATCTCAAAATGACAAGAGGAAGTGAGAAGAAGTTATTAGAGTACACACGTTCCGCTTACACGTCCGTTTTCTTGTGCAGTGGTACCACGTAACAGACTTGTCAAACCCTTAACATAGGAAGCTTCGATCCCCCATTCCTTGTTTTTGGCTCTTGCATGTGATAATATCCTTATACCTTCTTTGAGAATCTTCGGTGGAGCATTGGGGCTGCAGATATTGCCAACTCGTTGCATGTGGCCAGCAATCTTATGCCCTCGACTTATGTATACTTGGACCATTTCATCATCGCAAGGACGATCAAGATGGATAAACGTCGGATCTGGCTCCTCCTCGCTGTCTACCTCATTAGTTCCAGCCGAACCCTGCGATTCACGATCGCCTGAAGCTGGCGCCGACCTTGACACTGCATCACCGCGTTGTTGCTGGGACTCGGTCCTAGGAGTATTGAACACGCTGTAAGCCCATATCGAGAGGGTAGCAAGGTAAATGGCATGGGGCTCTATGAAGTCGTTGCTACTATATCGACGGACATGCCACAGCAAAGCGCCAGCATGGATGATGGACAGCCTTGCCTTATACTGGTCGATGTTGGCCCAACGTTGAATGTGATTACATGCTTCCGAGTATTCCATATTGTTTTGAAGCTCGTTGACATTTTGTCGTAGGACTGCAGACGCAGCGACCTTCTGAAAATGTTTCGTAGGTGTCAAGATATACAACCGGGAAAGGTGGAGGTGAAGAATCGTCGGGTGCTCTGTCCCACCAGCATTAGCTGCTTTGCCGTTCGCTTTCCAATGCAAGATATCAAAGGCGTCACAGGCACTGTTTCTCCATCTTGTGACCATTTCAAGAGTTGGTGGCCATGTTTCAGTCACGGAAACTGATTCCCTTCGTGGCTCAACATGAGCAACTGGAGTCCATCGTGACAAGGCCGTTCCATACTGGTAGGCTGCTTCCTTGGTCCTCGCACAAACTGCGTATATCAGAGCGATGTTTCCAAACTCCGTTAAGTTGGATGGCTGCCGCTTTTCCATGTAAAGAAGATGAAGTGCCTCGAGTACCGTGACTATCCGAATGTTCTAAAGTCAGTATAAGCCAGATGTCGTTCGCTTGGATTTCAAAATACAAACCCTGATGCGCGTCTCTACTATGTATTTTTTCCATGGTTGGCTGGTTCCATATCGACTCTCGGCACGGAAGTCTTGTTCTAAGCTCGTGTACTTTCAATACTTGAGGACAGTTAAATTCGTGGGAAACGATCGTGTCAAGGACCTAAATAAACATGAGAGAGTGTGTCTCTGAAGAAATGGCTAAACTTACCCAAATCATCAAGCCAGTGCGCAACTTTGACTGAGTTTGCATCCATGCCGTGACAGCTACATCGCCATCTTGAACTGGCGTGTCGGTAGTTTGTGGTGGGGTCTGTGAAAGTAGGTCCATTGTCCTGCATTCCTCTACGAGAGCGAGCCTTTGATACAGAGCCCAGTCCATCATGACTTCTTGGCCGCTATGAATTCGAGAGATTATGTTCAGAATAGATGCTTGAAGTGTTTGGAGGTCCATCCGGCCATGTGATTGAAAGTTGCCAGGCACCCAAATACCGTTTGCACTACCGGTGTTTTCTTTGATTATGGAGTCAACCCTGTGCTTCAAGCCCTTGTCTAGAAGTTCTGACATAACCGATGACCACCTACTCCCAGCATACCGAGCGCCAGTGGTTGCTACAGCTAGTAACAGAATCCAGTTGTCTGAAATTTGCCAGATGGAGGAGTTTTTCTGTAGAAACGGATACGTCGGGTGAAAGCATTGGTAATACAACAGCACAAAGACCCTAATATTTTCCAGAGGGGGGATCTGAACGTCTAAATCAAGTGACGGATCGATCCCAATCTCATTCTGAACCACGGACGATAGTTTGGAGTAGAGAGCCTCTGGCACAAACGTATTATCAGAGGATTCTCGCATACTCGCCACTAAGGATTTTAGATAACTGTAGTCTGACCCATCTGCTTCAGGCAGGCGAGGGTCCTGTTCAGGACGATTGGTCTGTAAGCTGGCTTGCTGGGGGAGTAGTTGACCACGAAATGGGGCTCTAGCTGCTGTTCCATCCACGTAGAGGGCCCCATTGCTTGAGGATGATGCATTAGAACCGTTGATACTACTCGCGTGCCCGCCGTAAGGGCTTTCCACAACTCTTGGGTAGTGTGTCTGATCCAGTTCGATGGCTGGTGTTTCCATTGGGCCATTGATGCTCATGTTGACGTCCAAGGGCTGTTCTGGGACCCAAGAAGAGACAGGATTAGGTCCGATTGGTTCAGAAGGAAATGTGTATGCCATTGACCCAAGGCCTTCGGGGATGATAGGTAATTGATTCTCCCATAATGAAGTAAACTGACTGTCGGAGAGCCAATTGATATTGGGGATAGCCATGGTGAGATCCGATACTTCTTGAAAACTTCCTATGTCATCGATTTGGAGCATTGGGTTCATTGGTTGTTGTGCAACAGCAATCGACTCATCATTAGGTGGCCAAGTTCCGTTTGCTGGAGGAGCCGTGAAAGCGTTAGAACCATTGATATTCCAAGAAAGATTGTTGGCATCATTGATTTCGCTATCGTTCATAGCCAGCTCTGTTTCTCTTGGCTCATCGTCCACAGGCTCGTCCATGAGCTCTGCCGGCTCTGAATCCACCTGCTCTGTTTCCGCCGACTCGGTTCCCAATGGCTCTGTTTCCATTGCTACGGTTGCCAATAGCTCTGGTCCCTGAGTATTATTTTCAACCTCCCCAGCTTCGTCCAGATCTTGTGCGGGTAATGGTTCGGCTGGCTGAATATTCGAATTCTTCTTCTTCCTTCCCTTCCTCTTCTTCTCTTTCTGGGGCACAGGCTGAGGTTTCCGTGTCCTGGGCTCAGGGTAGACGCAATCGAAGCGCCTTTTTTTACATCTCGTGCATGGCGAGTCTCTTGAGCAACGCATGCGGGCAAAAGCACATTCTGTGCACGCTCTGATTGACACTTGCTCCACCGCAGTTAAGGGATTTGTGCGTGTATGTGTGAGTTCGTGTCTCTGAAGAACATCTAGGCGTGCAAAAGATTTATTGCATTTCGTGCAGATGAATGGCTTCTCATGGGTATGGACTCTCAAATGGCGATTTAGATGTTCCGGGCGTGTGAAGACGCGCCTACAACGGTGACACTGCGCGTTTTCTGTCTCGCCATCGCCGTCCACTGGTCGATTGTCGGCATGGCTCTCCATCTTGCTATGCACTCACGACGCTGCGATGAGGATCATTCGTGAATAATTTTCTCATGATGGATGTCGTTGGATAGTTGCGAGCTTCATAGATATAGCAGTGCGGAGTAATGTAGACAAGCGAAGGTGGCGGGATGGATCTTTCTTGTTCCGCATTGATGACCTGACTTTCCCTTTTCTTCAAAATGCATTATCAACAACACATGAACAGTGTCAGGAGCCGGCTCCCTATACTCAGCTTCCCTATATTCCATTCTTACCTTATCTTGAGCCGACTTGCATGTTATGATGTAACCACAGGGCACCTTCCTGAGGTTGACCTTGCCGGTCTCAATTCAATCAATTCCGATACCTCAGCTGCAACTCCCATCAGATATCATTTCTTTTGCTTCAATCTCACCAATCACAACACTCAATGGAATCCGACCTGTGCTACAACGAAACAAACATCTTGTAGACAACACCTTGAATCACAGTCCCGGATCAAAGTTCCCGGCAGGCACATCTTTACCCATGCGCGTAATCCGGGTTCAACCTGGACATGCAGGCTGAGGCCCTTATCGACGTTACAGCAATGCAGTTCGCTATTTAGCCAAATAAGAGGCTGAATTTCGTCAAAGCTTCAGTGACTTTGACAAAGCTGTCTCCCCTCCCCCGCCGGAGCTTCAGAAGACTCAAAGCTCCGGTGGGGATCAGAGCACCATGAGATCTGTACCCATCCATGCCCCCCCACTGGAACTCCATATTCTTCAACGCGAGCTAGGCAATAAGCTTTTGGAGACCCTTGGCAGATTATCCCCAGATTCTTCCCCACAATCCCCGGGTGATCATCAAGAAACCGGGATTTCCATAGACAATATGGGACGAAGCGTCTGGGGTTCGTCAGGTGGCCAATGCCTGCGGTCTCTGTTGTTTCCCTATAAATGAAGCTCATGCCGCCGATCCTGGCACGTCTCGATACACAGGCAATGTCGTTTTATCCTGGCCTCAGGTACATCTAGGCCTCCATTGCATATTTTCCTGCATCATGGCTGCTATCACAGACGACAAGGTTGCTAGGGTCAGCGAAGATGACCATGCGCCAGATTATGGTACGGTCAAAGACGCATCCATCGCAAAGCAAGCTGCAGAAGAGGAACACAACCTCACGTTGCTGCAAGCCATTCGGAAATATCCCAAGGCCGTCATGTGGTCGGTCCTTCTCTCCACCTCGATCATCATGGAGGGTTACGATATCGTTCTTATCTCATCCTTCTTTGCCCAACCATCTTTCCGAGAGCATTATGGAAGCTACCAGCCCAAAAGCAATTCCTGGCAAATCACAGCTTCCTGGCAGAATGCACTTTCGAACGCCGTGAGCGTTGGGACTATTATTGGCGCGTTTGCCAATGGTTACTTCACATATAAGTTCGGCTACCGCAAAGTACTTCTTACTTCCCTGGTTGCCATATGTGGTTGCATCTTTATCTCGTTCTTCTCGCCGAGTCTTCCCGTCCTTCTTGTTGGCCAGTTCCTTTGCGGTATCCCATGGGGCGTTTTCGCCACTATGGCTCCTGCATATGCATCAGAAGTCTGCCCCATGGCATTAAGAGGATATCTGACTGTCTATGTCAATCTATGTTGGGCCATAGGACAGCTGATTTCTGCTGGAGTACAAGCAGGCTTCTCGAATACGACCGGGCATTGGTCCTACCGAATCCCTTTCGCAATCCAATGGGCGTGGCCCGTCCCTTTATTCATCGTCCTTTTCTTCGCCCCCGAGTCCCCCTGGTTCTACGTCCGGATCGGCGATTACGAAAACGCTGAGAAGTCAATCACCCGCCTAAGTTCCTCAACAACTCCTGGTCATGCAAAGCAGGCTCTTGCCATGATGATACATACCAATGAGATTGAAAAGTCCATCGACCAAGGTACTTCGTATCTGGATTGTTTCCGTGGGGTTGACCGACGCAGAACCGAGATTGCCTGCATGGCCTTTGCTGCCCAGCCCTTTTGTGGATCTTCCATGGGTGGCACTCCGACTTTCTTCTTCGTGCAGGCTGGTTTACCTGAGTCGATTTCTTTCAGAATGTCTGTTGGTGGTCTTGGGATTGCGTCTGTGGGCACAATCATATCATGGTGGCTGCTTCCCCTGGGTCGACGTACATTGTATCTTTGGGGGCTTGGCTTGCTCACAGCTGTGCTGATGATTGTTGGATTCATCAGCGTAGGTGCTGGAGACTCCCAGGGAGGAAACTATGCGCAAGCCAGCATGATGCTCATATGGTTGGGCGTTTATTACATGACTGTTGGACCTGTTTGTTACGCAATCATCTCGGAAGTTTCTTCGACCCGACTGAGAAACAAGTCTGTTTGTGTCAGCCGAATTGCCTATTACATCGCTCAGATCATCTGTAATGTCGTCAACCCTTATATGCTCAACCCGACCGCAGGAAACTGGCGCGGCAAAACTGGCTTTTTCTGGGGAGGCTGCTCTTTTGTCTTCTTCATTTGGACGTTTTTCCGCCTTCCTGAAACCAAGAACAAAACATTTGAAGAACTTGATCTTTTATTTGCTAATAATGTGGCGACCCGCGAGTTTGCCAAGTACAAGGTGGATGCGTATGCTGAGGATGATAACGTCTTGACCGTTCAAGATGCTGCTCGCCGTTGATCAACACAAGGCTTGAACTTCTGATTTGTCCCATATCTTCACAGAGAGAGATCCGTCCGAAAGTTGTTTCGAAAGGAATGCCTTGCTTCGGATTTAAGCATTTGGGATATCATTCTTGTCAATAGCATCTTACTAGGCAGCAGGCCGATGACTATTTAGGCTGAATACTTGTTCTACCTCATGCTCTCGTGAATGTGGGATATGCAGCTCTGTGAACCAAACTTCAAATTCTATGCTTGCGAGTAAAGGTGACACCAGAGAAGAGAGCGAATGGGAGAATTCAAATTGCTCATGGGATACCCAACACAGCTTGTGATGTTTGCAAACTGTTTGCGTAAGTATTGCTTGCCGACCTTTACCAGTCTTCTTTGCGAGCTGAAAATTCTGGCAACTTCTTCACTGGCTCGTATGTCTCTTCTCCCCGTTTCTTGTTTACTATAAATATCTCCCCTCCGTCCATCCCTTTCACGGCTTCTTGTTCATTTGTATCTCACCAGATTGCCACCTGGAGTGCAGGGGCTGAAGAGTCAGGATGTTGGCGCTTTCTGCAGCTCCTTTATATTTTCCAACTTAGAGACATATGTTATTTGATTCCAGATGCGGCGAACAGCGCAGAGATTCTTGTCCAAGGATGGGCGGGTGTGGAGATCGCGAGTCGTCTTGTGCTATAGTAGTAACCCCCCCCCCCCGAAGATGGGGCAAGTCAATGAATGCTGACGTATAAAACAGTCCCACAGGACCTCTCAAGGAGCCTGAGACAACAAATATCTTTGTGTTCCCAGAACCATACGGCTCTTCTATAGCTTCAGGCATGGATCTAATGCTGTCTGCAAAGCGCCTAGGTCAGACAACAACCACACATAAAACTTTGGCCTAACATCCCATCCTTATCTCTAATGCCATTCAGATAAGGTATGGATTATGCAATCAATCCCCTTGTTCCGGGTGTGATGAGTATGGCTTAATATGGGATCCTCACCTTGAGTTTGTGCTAACATCTCGCAAAACTCAGAGGATGGATATGTCATTGGGCAAGTCGTTCATCGCCCTAGAAGCGACTATACCTTGGGGGGATTCGTGGGATTATGCTACGAAGTGGCTCGTCCTGACTTCCAGCAAGGTTATCCCCAAGAGACTGCGACAGATTGTGGCATATACATCATCAGTCAGGCTGCGCTCTTCAAAGATACTGGCGGTATTCCAAAGACAGCGTCGTCTAAGACTACCATGAAGAAGCTCTCTTTTCCAACAAAGACCAGCAGTCAACTATATATAACGGCTGTTACTTGCCTTAGTATGAGCTTTTCTCAACATATTGTTAGGTGCGTGAGAGAGCAACCTGCGAGATATTGGCGGTTCAAGAAGCAACCCCTCGATATACTGTGACAATCAATACGATGGCACGGTAGTAGAACCAGTCCAATAGTTTGCTTTCTAAGTGTCTCCTGTATACACTCAGGTTATTCCGAGTATCAATCTGGACTGCTTTTCTCGCGGATAGAAAGCATGTTGACAATATTCAGCCGACAAACCCCTTTCACTTTCCTATACCAGCCAGCTGTCACTTGCATTTTGATCCGAGAACAGCGAGTGCTGGGGGCCAGGAGTTCAACAAGATGCTCTTTAGAACAAGTCAGTTTCAACCAACTTTTTGAAAACATCATGTGCAAGAGTATCGATATATACAGCACTGGAAACCCAAATATATATACATATAGTATTAGCTAGAGTAAGTTCCCTCTTAAACTCCCATCAAGATACTTCAATTTCTGCCACTAATATCGTATATCCAGAGGGTTTCGGCTTCCTGGGCCTTTAAACCCTAGAGACAAGGGGTACACTATTCTGGTCCGTTCCAGGGGGTACTAGGAACAACTATATAATAATGAATTTGGTAGCACCTCAGTAGCATTTCACTATGCCGACCACCTCTTCCATGTCCCGGGGTGCAACGCGTTTCGCATTGCGGGATATCAACACATTTAAGGTCGCCCACCTGGCTCAGGCATGTGAAAGCGGAAAGCCCAAGATCAACTTTCTGATACAAGGAGTGTGAAGAAGGCAAGGAAGAGAAAAAACTCGGATGCATATCGTAAGGCCATTACTCGTCAACAAAAGGCTTTTGAGAAGCTGTAGACAACTGAAGCATATCAGAATGCTCACCCATCGGAGAAGGAGAAGATGTTGAAGGATCACCAGCAACAGCTCGGTAAAATCGACCAGAAATAGTAAGTGTTTGCGATCACACCACTGCTTGACATCTATCTAATCTGGTCTCAGTCGTGGTGAAGGGAGACACCCAGACCATCAGGGTGATGGAGTAATGGGAGCAGACAGCTTCGGGCTCAACATATCCTCCCCCAACGACAGAGATTCGGACTTGGAGGCTGATGATGAATGGGAAGATGTCGTACCGAAATCTGAGAAGATGGAAGAACATTTTGCATACGTGCAGGCAGCCACTTCACTCCAGCGCGTACGCCAGCACTTGACATCACAATTCGAAAGCCTATTCTTTTGATACTTAGCCATTCGACGTACCGTCGGGTTGTGACAAGCGCACCATGTGCATCCTGAGGATGAGGAAGTTAGCGAGATACTTTTTCGCTTACAGGTGAGCCTACTTCAACTTACCATCGCGCCCTATTCAAGCTGATGACTTCTAGATACACCAAGGATCTACCACTCGAAGGGTCCAACCTCTTCACCGTTCAAGAAATGGAAAAATGGTTCATTTGCGCCTCGTCAATTCACATTCTATAGAGTACATCTCTTAATGCCCTTGGCACGAATAAGAAGAGAAACTTCAACAGCCCAAAGCACTGGAAGATCCGGGGACTCGAGATCCTGTATCCGAAACCGACATCTCGGTATGTCAATCACTTTTAAAATATGTGGCTCATTACTGACAATCGTAGCAACGCGACTTTGTTTCTTGGGAAATGGTCTCTTGAACATGGGATTCGACTACGACCCGATAGCCGTCGACACAGTAGATAGCCATCGGTAGAGTGGGCACCTAGTTCGGCCACCATGGTTCATGAGATATGCTTAGGGGGTAGCACTCAGTCGTTTCCGAAGAGGCCCCAGGATTCGAAAGACTTGGTGACGGGGAATTCATCAGTCTTGCAGGTCCCTCCTGACTCTGGACTCATGAAAGCCTCAATAGCATTAAGCAGCTTTGAAAAGAACTGGATGGCAGACACAAGGATCTTAAGGCATTGATTGTCCTCTATACTTGTCGGGGAAATTACACCACTTCGCTTGTATCGAAAAAGGAAGATGCCTTGGAATCGACGATAAATTCGTCATCTCATCCACAGATATCATTCATCTTCTCCAACCTTCAAATCGGGCAGGATAGTTGTGGACTCTGGGCCAAGAGAAGAACATGATTAGGTAAAGCAATCATAAGCCTGCCTAAATCTATCCTAAACTCAGGCGGGATTACCCTAAATTTACATAAATTTCCCTAAGTTGTCCTAAACTTATCAAAGGCTATCCTAAGGTTACTTGAGTTATCATGTTCACAATCTGGCTCATATTCTCATGTGCTCGCATTCGTTGCCTACACTCTATTGACCTCGTCGACGTTTGTGGCCAATACAAACGGATCTCCATTTAACGGTAAATGGCATATCCCTGCGTCCTTATTTAGGTCGCTGACTTGTTTTCTTCCAGCCCAGGTATCTATAGTGTATATCTACACCTGAGCATGCCATAAGCCCGTATCACTACACGCACCGCACAGAGTCGTCTAGTACAGACCGAGGGCGGCGCGCACATAGAACACCGGGTCCAGCGCTCTAACCGAAGCCATTGGGTATGTGTACCGCCTCTCGTTGAAGCGACTGCAGACAGGGTCGAATGACAAGCAGTTGAAACTCACCAGGGCCTTTTGTGGGATCCTCTACCCGACTAGGAAGCGGTTGATTGAATACCTCCTCCGACAACACGGCCAATACCAGTGGAACAAGATGACGAAGTCAGCACAGTCGTGGATGTGCTCAGTGGTGAAGACGAAACCCAAGCGGGCCTCGATCGAGGGCTCCTACCAGATCGTGACCAGAATCCCTATCGCTTTTTGAACTTACAAGCAGATACATATCAACATTAGGCTGACGACACTGTACCCGGCGCCAACCCTTGGGGATTACGCGCGGAACTTGAAGAGGCCAGGTGAGGCCAGTCTCCTGGGCCGGATTCATCAGATTCAAGCATAACTTCCCCGCCTTCTTCTCCGCGACAGCGTACTAGAGGCGTCGATTGATTTCCCATCCCAGAGCTTCATATAAAGACTCACACTTGACATACAGCCTACAGCGACGCCTTGACCACATATCTCCAGAAGCATCCACAGTAACTCTCCGCTTGAGCCTTGTAAAATTGGGACAGATAGAAGTACACAAAGCATCGAAGCAAACACTCAGTCTATTCCTTCCTGTGGGAGCGGAGAGATCTCCCTTCCCGACAACATGGCGAAGCATATCATCCGACAGCAGGGACCGGATGGTGAAATCCGCGAGGCTATTGAGGCTGGCCGCCAGGTCTGGAGTAGTTCACATCCGAAATGATGTACGAAGAGCGATGGCTAATGGAAGCGCCGCCGCTTTCACAAGAGCGTTCAGCGCCAGGGCAGGATGACTCCATTTCCTCCTCGACGTCAGTATTTAATTTGAGTCAGTATCGAGACTATCAAGAAAAGGAGATCAGCGTTCACGTCATCTAAGAACGAACAAATGCCCTCTAGCAGCCTCAAAAATGCCAAGCTCTCAACGAAAACCAAGCCGAGGACTGTGTCGACGGATTGAGAAAGCCAAAGGCGCCCATCGTGGTCTTCCCAGTACTGCCAAGAGCTTCTGTTGCAACGAGCTGCGCGTCAAAAGATGCATCAAGGAACGCGGCGGTCAAGAAGTTATTAAGGCCATCGGCAGGCAATTATGGGAATGGGAGCGTCTGTGCGGTCGTAGTGGGAAGATCTGCCACTGATTTGCACTCTGTTGTAATGGAGATGGCTCTCGGAAGTGAGGTCCCTCAGGGGTCAAAGAGTTTGGAATCTAAATCAGGAGGTGAAAATAAAATATTCAAAGACTCATCTAAGTTTATCCTAAATTGTTCTCAGACTTTCCTAAGATATCCTAAATTATCCTAAATTTATCTAAATTCTTTGGTTCCTCAGGAAGTAAGTCTTGAGATTTCCCCCACATCTCGCTCTATCAATGTTCAAGATAGAAGCGGCCTTCAATATGACAGAGAAGGCTAGGTATAGCGATTTAAACAGCTCGAATTAAAGCAACAGACTAAGTTTGCACATATTCGAAATGATCGCAATGCCCCTCATCGATGTCGAGTTGAGGGGGGCGTCGTTGTCTCCGCGGCAGGACAAGGCTAGTGCTCACGGGACAACGATAACATGCAGGTCAAAGCTTCCAGATACTGTAGATCTTTCACGTTGACGGGGCCGTCTCCCAGCACTGGTTTTCTGTATTGAAGTGCTGCCCGTTGGGAAGAATACACATCTCATCGAGCTGAGGAAGATAGCCCATCATGTCGACGACCAGGAACTTGACGAAATTGATCTGCGTAGCCCCGTAGTCTTTGTGGAAGATGTCGTTGATGTTCTCGTACTCTTCGTCTCGTCAGATAACCGTGCGATTAAAGCCCGGTGTGTTAGAATGCGAAGTGTCGGAGATGGCGCAGGTCAGATTCCACCAGCCCCGCAAGAGTGAGTAGAGCGTTATCCTATAAAGTTTCAATTATCAGTATCGCTCTTGAATTAAAGAACCCATCCAGTGGTTTTGGCTACCTACACGATGATATAGTCCGACGTGGTTGCTAGGTTCTCCATTTCGAACAACGGAGTTATGTTTGATTCTGTTGATAAGTACCGACTGCTGTAAGAAGCGAAACCCATAATGACAGATGTCGAACACCCCAAGTTTAGGGATCAGAGGACCACCGACGAATCGTCTCCCTCCATCACCACCATAAATGACTGGTATCTGCTTCAGAGTGTCAGAAGGAGAGGCCAAGAAGTTGACGACGCCAGGGCAGTGATCTAAATCGACGCATCGAGCTTCTGAGTGACCATACATCTTCATGAGGGTTAATAGAAGCTCCTTGCGGGCCACAACACCGCCGCCACCAGCGACGAGGCGTACATCGCGGAGGTTTGTCTCTACCAAGTCCTGCGTCAATAACCGAGCCCGGTCTGCGTACGTCGATTGGGGATTGCCGTCAACCTTGAACTCGATTGATATCCCAACGAGCCCTACGAGTTCTTTGATGGCTTGTGCGATTCGTGAGATACAACGGACGTCATCGAAGCCCAGCCGATGATCCCGAGCAGTGCGGAGGTCAAGGACCGGTACAGCTTGAATTTACATTTCAAGGAAGCTACTAGCGTTAGAATATTGCAATATTGCTTAAGTTGTACTTTGAAGCCTACTTGATCGCTGACCTGGGGAGGAACACAACAGGGTGCTCCTGTTGATCAAGGAATTTCCCGAGTCTCTCGGCGACATGGGGTCTGGTACCACGCACGTGAATGGTCTGAAAGTATTCCCTCCCATAACTGTGTCTGAAGGAGGAGTTCACTTGTGTGATGCTCTTGAGGTCCTCTCTTTAGGGGGCTGCCATGGGTCTCGCTGGCAAAACGCGCAGAAAGCTCTCCATTTTGTTGATCCTCTGATCGTAAGAGCGGCCTTAGCAAAATAAAACACAGAACAGATAGAAGTGCAGAGAGAGAAAGAGGAGTTCGACCGCAAGGATAATAGCTCACTGAAGTTTCTAGCCTGCGAAGGTTGACGATGATCTCTGCTGGGATGAGGGAGAGAAAGACTATTGATAAGAGGAGGCTCTGGAGGAATAAACAGGTACCGAAGGCAAAAAGGAGCAGAGAAATGTTAATAAATATTATGCAATGCTAAGAAAGTGCTGGCCGGGCAGGGGCAGTGAATCAGCGACTCAAGGAGTGCACACTACCTTACGCTACACATTCCGACTCCTACATTAGATATTTCTCTCTCCTACGCAACTTTACCAAACAAACATGAAACCAACCTTTCAGTGAACAACAGTAAGTATTGCCATCTCCATCTTCTCTTTAATCCGTCACTCAAAGAGGGAACAGAGTCAGAATGAATTACAGACTCCTAAAGACTGAGGTACACAAGCTACAGGATGGATCCCCCGGCAACGACACCGAATCCATCCTTGAGAAGCTCCTTTCACTCGAGGTCGCCGATGTCCAACCTCTCTCCAAAATGCCCTACTGCAGAAGTCTCTGTCAGGTCCGAATCAAAAATATACAACCTTACCTCGAACCAGATTTTTTAATTCTGTGTCACCTCGAGATGATCCTCTGCGCGCAATTTGAGGATCCGTCTCAGGCTGTCTACAGTCCAGCCTTCCGCTGCAACTCGACCAAGTGTCTTGGTGTGACCTTCAAAGTCTATGACAAAGACAAGCTTCCCCGTGAGCCTGGCTTTTGGCTCAATGATATCAACAACGCCGCGAGGGATGACGCCAAGTCTGATATCGAAGGTAGCGAGACAAGCGAGATCAGCGAAACCGAGTTTCTCCAGCAAAACGACGGAGACAGTGATAGTGACAGTGTTGGCGAGGATTATGATGACGATTATCTAGACCTTCGTCACCCTGTTGAAGGATTCGAAGAGCTTGAACACCGCTGGAAGTTGTTCTCGTCGACTGCTCTTCGCTATGCTGTGCTCTGGGGCGACTACATCCGGCAGCCATATCTTGAAATCATGAACGCTCAGGCCGAGGCTTATTTCCCTGAAGCCCTCTACCTATTACAGCCACTTGGTTCCACAACTCCCCATCGACGACAACCAAGACTTAAATGCTAGCTCGGAAGAGAGCGGATATGACGCTAAGTCTGTCAACCAAGAGAGCCCTGGCGTCTGCTCTTTGGATAATGGGCTCGGGCGATGATGAGTCTGTCTCTTAGGAAGTCATTGAAGTTCTGGGCATTGATTCCAGCCTGGATGACAGTGGCTATGAGCCGTGAGCTATAGACTAGTAGATCATCAGTTTCCATGGGCAAGTTACTGAGGCGACAGCAACTGAAGGGGAGGGGGGGCTGAGTGATATTGCCCAAAGTTGTCTTGTGTAGATCCTCTGGCCACAGCAACGAGGCCATCCTTGAGAAGTCCCTTTCACTCAAGGTCACCGATTACCGACGTCTCTGCAAACACCGAATGAACCTGATGTGGAGTTCCCACAAAGAGGGCGAAACGGAGTACTGCCCTTGGGTCGGCAACCGCACTATGGGGGCTGCCCAGCAGCATATCATCGCTTAGGCCATTTCCGCTCTTGAGGCGGTCCATGCTTGTCAACGTATGCGTGATGAGTTCCCCCATGATGGGGTCGACTCCAATTGAGATGGGGAGATGGCAGATGTGGAGGATAGCAACTGAGTGCTGGACTAAATTGGCCGTGGGCAAGGCTATGGATTCTCTGGTGGACCAATATCGGGAGTAGTGGTAGCAACTACAGACAATACACGCATAGCATTCTGCCAAATGAATCTAAATCGTATCAAAATGAAACGCCTATTGTAGATCGCTTCTTATCAAGACCTCTTAAACGGCCATGAGGCAAAGTGCCTTTGAATACTTGGGCAGCGCCGACCTGCCGCAACCTCAACATCTCAAACAAGAGCGGCTCAAGTGCTGGCCATAGAAATGCTATAAGCACCAAGACGCCCCCTGTTGCCATAGTTCCTGTTCTTCATGAGTAACATGGCATGAACAATACCAACGCTGGTCTTTGCGGAAACACCACCGCGAACAATAATAATGGAATCAACAATCCATGCTGGTAGGTAGATGAGAGAGGACGAAGGGTGGTGCGCAATAATCCTGGCGACCATGGCAAGCTTCAATCTCAACGGGTGATGAATCATATCTAAAAATTACGAAGCATCGTCACTACGCTGAGTACTGAAGGGGCATAAGCCGTTGATCCAAATTCCCATACTCTACTGAGCATCTGATATGTTGACACGAAAGCGACATACTCCGGAGAGCAAGAAAACTTTTGGCGTTGACCCAGGTGTTAAATTGACTGGTCTAAATATCTACTAAGATACACTAAACTTACCTAAGTCTTCTCATCAATTAGGATAGAGGTCCTAAGTTTAGGTCCAACTACCGACAGCCCGAAGATACGGTTTAACATGCCGTGATGTTGAACTACAGGTTAAGTCAAGACGTTACGGGATGTTTCAAGATACCTTAGGTAGAACAGACAGTAATCACGTGCAAGCTCATGCAACAAGGGTCCTGGATGATTCCAAAACATCCATGCATATCAGATCGAGGGGCCACACTACGCCGCAGATGCTTACGTCCGACCTGAGCTCCGAACTTGCTAACTTGTAGCTGGGTTGCTACACAAGAGCATGAGAATGATTGGCCACAATAGTGCAATTGTTTCTGAAGAACTTTCGCATCCAGAGAGCTGATTCTGGCAGCCGTTGAGATGCAAAAATACGGTTGAGATTTTAGCGATTGATAAATGGACTTGACCCATTGGGACGAATAATTCCCATTGATTGGTCGAAACCGAGAATGCGCCGTGTGGCAAACTCCGAATCTTTGTCTAAATCCGGGGGCGGGGAGAATTTCGACAGGACCGCGTGGTTGTGGCTCGGGGATAAGGCAATGGCTGCAGCAGAGTTGAACGGGGCGTTGTTGGGAGTCAGCAACAGTCAACTATGAGGTCATGAGGCTTGTCAGTCGAAGCATAACCAAGGTCATAGTCTTGAGTCAATTCTGCATTGTGATTGAGACATGAGTCCAAGGCCGGCCATTACAGTAAGGAAACGACATTCTGTTGCAGCCGGAGGAGCATAATGCCGTCGGTTCAGGAGGAATTGCCACTGTCAAACAAGACAAGGCCGAGATAGGGGGAGAATACTCGAGAGACTCGTGCACAACGTCGAAGGGCGTGCATGTCAACTAATAAGATCTGCCGAAAACGTTCGGGTATAAGTCGCTGGGTCGGTCACAGGCAAAGTGCCAATGGATAAAAGCTCATGGGCAAACGGCTTTTTATTGTGAGTCAGAGCCTCCTCCAGACGATAGAGAAGAGAGAAAAGACGGACGGACAATAACATGCTCATGGCTCGTTTTGGCATGGCCTAGATGGGCTTTTTGTTTCGTCCTCTCTATTGTAAGATATCCATGGGTCCCGAGGACCGGTAGCCCCGGCTGACAAATGCAACTTTGACGCTATTCGCACTGTCTAGAGTTCACGTTCCTGTACCCAGCCTCTCTCGGAAACTCGCTGACCCCCACCCAGGATGGTTCCTGTTCAGGGTCTAGTGAGCCGATGGAAGAATGAACTAGAAGGAATCTTTGTGACTCAGGCAGCAAATTTTCTAGTCGGACGCTCCGCATTGGACCCTTGCTTGGCCTTGCTCTGCCTACCCGCTTGCCTTTGCTTGCCCTGCTAGGCTCTGGGTACGCGTAGATACAGTACCTACAGTGCGATTCAACTCCAACGCCCGCTCAGCTGCCCCCGCTCTACCTACTACTGCAGCCATCCATCTCACTTGATTTCCCTTCCTCGCCCATTCTTGGCTCCGCCTGACACCAGAAACCACCGATTTCATCATCAATCTTACATACTGTTACCTTACATACCATAGTAGCTTCAGTTTCCATCCTGTCCTGTGCGGCCTGAATCCGAAATCTCCTGTTCTTCTTATTATTCAACTTTGCCTCTCTTCTCATCGCCGTTTGACAATTAGTTATATGCCAGCATCATAACCCAGCCAGCAGAAGCCCGCCCCGCTCGTCTAGGTCCCCGACGTCGCCGCTACCCAGGCTTCAGGCACAGACAGCCTCTGGTCTGGCTCTTTGTCCCCTCCTGCGTGAGCCTGGACTGGCAGAGAGCTTGAATCTACAATCAAGCCGCCCGGCATCAGTTTCGTCTGCCTCGATTTCAAATCGCTCCTCAACGTTACGCCTCCTTTCGATTGCCCGTTTCATATTTCGCGATGGCTTCTACCGGTACTGGGGGCACTTTGCCACCCAACTTTCTCTTGACCCCGCAACAGCAGAACCTGCTCTTTGCTGCTCTCAACTCCAACAAGCAGCAGCTTTCTGGTTCTTCCGTGGACAATTCCCTGACAGTTTCTCCTACGACGTTCCGCAATTCTGCTGGCCAGCAAAAGTCCGCTACCGCGACAGGCTACCAGGAGAGTCCCTTCCTCGATAACTACGACTATGACTTTGGCGATTCTGGTTTCGACTTTTCCTTCGCCAGCGAGGACCAGCCTTCCATGATTGGAGATCTTCCCGCTGCTTCCACGGAGCCCAACAACAACTCTGGCTCTGTCGCTCTGTCCGACTCCCCAGAGACCGATACCCCAGAGAAGCGCAGCTACCCTGATGACGAGGATGATGAAGATAGCCCTGGTGGAGATCACAAGCGCCGTGAGAGTACCGACAAGGTCCCTAAGAAGCCCGGTCGTAAGCCTCTTACATCCGAGCCCAGCTCGGTACGTTTTATCAATTGATTACATATAAAGTGTATTACTTACTAATCCATATAATAGAAGCGCAAGGCTCAAAACCGAGCCGCTCAGCGTGCTTTCAGAGAACGCAAGGAAAAGCACTTGAAGGACCTTGAGACAAAGGTCGAAGAGCTAGAGAAGGCTTCGCAGGCTGCCAACCATGAGAATGGCATGCTTCGAGCTCAGGTTGAGCGCATGACAGCTGAACTCAATCAGTATAAGCAGAAGGTCACAGTGATGTCAGCTACCAAGTCACTGCCCAGAGAAAAGGTTCCTTTCGGCAGCGCTGCCGTCAGCAACCTCAGCGATGTCAACTTCCAGTTCGAGTTTCCCAAATTTGGCATGCTTCCAGGACCACCTGTTAGCAAGACTGGCTCATCACCCACAAGCCCGGATCAGCAAAAGATCACATACCCTAGCCCTACCAACAGCCTCAACAACAACGTGCAATCCGCACAACAATTCAAGGACGACTTGGCCAAGTTCTCGGGTGTCTTCAGCCCTTCCATGGCAAGCTCTGCCACCAACCCCTCTCGTGCGAGTGTTGACTCTGCAAGCTACAGCGTCAATGGCGCTTCCAGCTCCCCATCTGCTTCATCTCATTCCAACACTGGCCCCAGCTCTTCTTGCGGAACATCACCCGAGCCTTTCAACCAGTCCCCCATGGGCTTCAAGCCTGTTGATACGATGGCTACCATTGGCGAGGAGCAGACACATCAGAACAGCAATAACAACCCCAGTCAGTTCGGCAACATCGATCTGAACAGCACCAACTTTGACTGGCTGTCACAACAGAACGGTGGACAGTTTGACCCACAGCTCTTTGGTGATTATCGCGAGCCTCAAGAAAACGTCTTAGCAAACCCATCTTTCGACGACTTCTTCAACGATGCTCTTGACAGCGATTTCTTCACTCCTTACAACATGGCTCCTAACAGCCCCAGCGCTCATCTCAATAGCCAGACCAAGAAGCCATCGAACCTCATTGATCAGATTGATGCTCAAAAGGAGTCCGATGACGAACCACTTAAGAAGCAGAACATGAACTGCAATCAACTGTGGTATGTATCAACTTATAGAACCAGGAAATGTCTGTCTCTAACACGTTTCCACAGGGAGAAACTTCAAGCTTGCCCCAAGGCACAGAATGGTGAATTCGACCTCGACGGCCTCTGCTCCGAACTTACCAAGAAGGCCAAGTGCTCTGGCACTGGCCCTGTGGTTGCTGAGACCGACTTTGACACCATTCTGCAAAAGTATATGGGCAAAGACGTCTCCAGTAGTTGTGTCGCCCAACAGTTGGGTGTGGAAATAAAGTCGAGTGACCCAAACCAAGATAAGCATATTGGCCTGCCAATTTGAGACCAGGTTTATTATGAACAAAGATTCGGCTGTACACTACAAACTTAGGCGGCATACCCAGCACACAGCTACACAATGATTAAGGCGTTTACAACAGACAGGATGGGATCGGAAAACCAAGGGATTCCGGCGCTTGATTTACCTCCGTCAACGGAATTGGATGCATGGAAAGGAGAAAGGATGATCTATGGTATGATTATATAGCATGCCATGAAATCTTCGACCTGTTAACTCAGCTTGAAATTCTTGTGGGATTTACTTATGCTTTGTTTTTGGATGGACATTTTTTGCTGCTATGAATAATTATGACTTATTTCTGGTTTCAACTGTCAGGAGCTTAACAGGCGATATTTGATGATCACTGTGACTTGGCAACGCACATGCTGATCAAAGATGTACATCAAAGGGACTACTCAACTTTCATTACTACGTGAGAGATCAATGTGTTGGAGGCGCTTTTGTGATATGATTATTTGTATTCAAGGATATAAATTGCACCCTGCAACGGCAAGTTTGAGTCAATCTGCAACATCCAGACGCTGCATGCGCCATGAAATTGAGATCTAAGAAGTTTGAATTGCAAGTAGAAGATCGCCGTGACATCATTTTTGAGGCCATCGTTGACTGAAAGCTGTTGTGATTTTTATCATGACATCTAATCTTAGTCATCAAGTGGAGCCAGGTGATCGCGACAAGGAAGCTTGCTTTAGCCAGACCAAATCATCTTGAACAAGTCGTACTCAGCTTACAACAACTTCTCGCATGCCCAGTAGCGATTGTTGATTTCTTGTTTTTGGCCTTCAACAGAGATTCCTGGAAAATACATTGACAGTCTCGATTCCAGCCTTGCACAAATAGCGATCTCCGATACTTCACAATGCCAAAAGAGAAGAATTACAACCCCGTGCAGGCCCAGCGCAAAGCTGACAAGGCGAAAGCTCTCAAGAAAGGTGAGACGAATCCTGATGATCGCATTGGACCTTCTAACTGGAAACATAGGCAAGCATGAACGGCAAGAACGCCTAAACGAGAAGCTATCGCGAAAGAACCCCGAGCGCATTCAAAAACAGATCGACGACCTCAAGAAAATCACATCAAGCGGCGGCAAGCTTACTCGTCATGAGGAACAGACATTAGAAGGGCTCGAAAAGGAACTCAAAGCAGTGAAGAAGGCCAGAGAAGCACTTGGCGACAAAGCACCAACATTCAGTCGAGGGTGGAACAGAGATCACGACTCAGGATCTAGGGTATTAGGGAAGAGGCGTAGAGGTTCTAATGATGCTACGACAAGCGACGATGAGGTTCCCGACGACGTCAAGAGTATTCCTATGCCTCGAGATACACCCCCGCCGATTCCCAAAGAAGTCATGGACAAATGGTATGCCGAACGACGAGCAAGGAGGGAGGCAGAGAACCCTACAAGGCCGGACGGCGAGGACAAACACCAAAAGAAGGAAGTGCCAGTCGTCGAAGCGAAAACAGTGTACGAAGCCAAGCCTGTGGTGCGCGATCTCAGAAAAGAGGCTGTTTCGGCATTTGTGCCTACGGCAGTCAAGATGAAGATGAACAAGGGTCAAGGTCAAGGAGGGTTAATAGAGCCGGAGGAAGCAGATCGACTAGAACAAGAGGGCTATCTCAAGACGGCAGATCGCAACGCGGAAGCACGACCCGATCAAGGCCAATCATCACGGCATGTGACCATGGAGGATGTGGAAGATGAGGAGGCTTGATTCTGGAGAGGAGGTTAGTTCAGCCAGCTATGGTGCCATTGATGCAATTGACAGATAGTAATGCATAACTCCCCGACCAAAAGCATCCCAAAAAAGGATATAATTGGGCGAACCCATTCAATCACGACTTTTCAAGCCTATCAGAAGAACGATGTGACTCAGACCAACAGCGAGCTCGAGGGGTTGAGGCCGGTTGAAATAGCGGCATAGGGATCAAGCTGGGGTAGAGAGGACCCATCTGACCACCCACAGTTCAATGACGGAGGACCAAGTGCGTTGACCATCTTGACCGACAATGTATGTTGCTCGTTTCCGAGGAGGAAAGATGGCGAATTGGGCTGCATTAACAATGGGACTTGTCTTGAGAAGGCGTCTACCATGCTTTGGGCTTAGACCCAACAGGTCAGGTCTCTCTCAGTTGAGTTGGGATTTACGACCGTATATATCCGTGTAGAGGGTGGAGCTCAAGGACCTTGACGAACAAATGATGAGTTTTCATTACTCTCATGTCAACGAGGAACTCGACCACTACGGCAATTCAGGCCGCACTCCGAAAGCGGGCCTGGCTTTTTCGACCCGGGGCCACGCCGAAATCCGATCGTTCTTATATTTAAGCATGTCTAATCTTTTTATTTTCGCCTCCGAGTGTAGTCCTCAACTCCATGTCTGATATGCTGCGACAGTTGTAAAAGAAAGGAAGAAAGTAAAGCGTGCTAGGTATTTGGGGACGGAAAAGGAAACATTACGATTGCTCAAATAATGGATTGTCACCAAGTCACATCTCGTGCCCTCTACGAGGATGACGAGATCAACGACCATGTCAACCAGATCGACCAAGGAAACGAAACCAACGCAAAATCAGGAGCCGATCTAGAGAAGCAACCGACTGCAGCATCAACAGCGTCGTTCCAGGAAACGTATCCCGAGGGCGGCTTGCAGGCGTGGTCCGTGGTCGCTGGTTCGTGGTTCTCTCTATTCGCTTCGCTTGGACTAATGAACACTCTCGGCACGTTTCAGGCCTATGTTCTCGACAACCAACTCACAGAGTATAGCGAGGGTACTGTCGGTTGGATCTTTTCCATCTACACCTTTCTCGCCTTCTTCTGCGGTGTGTACATTGGTCCAGTCTTTGACAAGTATGGTCCGAGATGGCTTGTCATTGCCGGCGCTGTGTTCACCGTTGGCGGTATGATCTTTATGAGTTTTGCGACTGGTAGGTTTCTCTTTGAGATTGTGGTTTTGATGTGCTGACTGTTATAGAACTCTGGCACTTTGTCGTCGCCTTTGGCCTCCTCTGTGGTTTTGGATCATCACTTCTCTTCACACCATCGATCGCTGCTGTAGGCCACTTCTTCAAGGCTAGACGTGGACTAGCGACTGGCGTTGCATCTACTGCTGGTGGAATCGGCGGTATCATCTACCCCTTCATGCTGACGAGGCTAATCGAAAAGATTGGTTACGGATGGGCCACTCGAGTCATTGCTCTCATCTGCCTTTGCTGCAGTTTGATCGGTATCTGTCTTCTCAAATCTCGACTTCCACCCGCCAAGGATGCTACTGCGCACCCCAACTTTCTCATCTTCAAGAGTCTGCCTTTCCTCTTCACCACGATTGGCGTCTTCATGTTGGAGTTCTCCCTCTTCATTCCTCTCGGCTACATCTCGACATATGCGCTGCACAAGGGCTTCGGAAAGGATTTCTCCTACAACCTCATTCCTATCCTCAACGCTGGTTCGGTCATCGGTCGACTTCTGCCCGGCTACTATGCCGATGTGATCGGTCCTTTTAACGTCAGCATCCTGGCTGTGATCCTTGCCATTGTGGCCTGCTTCTGCGTATGGCTACCTCTTGGTGGAACCACAGCTGGTGTCATTATCTTCACCGTCCTGTTCGGTTTCTCTTCTGGAACATCCATCGCCATTGCGCCTGTCTGTATCGGTCGACTGTGCAAAACGCAAGAGTATGGACGTTATTATGCTACGGCCTATACAATCGTGTCTTTTGCTTGTCTCATCGGTATTCCCATTGGTGGTAGCATCGTCCAGGCCAATGGTGGTGAATATTGGGGTCTTATCATATTGACTGGTGCCGTTTACGTGGCATCCATGATCTCGTTGTTCCTGGCCAAGGTCACTCTCTTGGGCTGGCACAACTGGAAGGCTGCCCTTTGAGCATTCATCGGGCACATCAGCGTCTAACGGAATGAAACCTCGAGACTGAACGGCTGTCGTCTTTAATCGAAGACTGAGCACAAAATTATGACACCATGAAAAGTATTGCTATTATCTTGGGAACGGAGTTTTGGATACAAAAAAGAGCTGAGAATGCCAATATCATTGCTGCGAGTCTTTGTACATAGATACCATAGTTCGTAGGAAAATATAATAGTTATTGTTTTGTATGCTTGCGCTCACCTCGTTGTTATGAATGAGCCTTCTATCTGGGTATTCCGCATTTATCTTGAACCCGAGGGCACAGCCTACTTCTGTTTCTGTGCCTTGATATGCTCACCATGAAGCTCTTGTACCGCGGGAATAATGAGCGATTCAATCTCAACATCTGGCTCTTGACTTGGCAGCTCCTCTGCCACAAGCGGCCTGCCCTCAGCTTCTCCCCAACCGCCCTCTCTCGGCACACGCACCCAGTTATCGTCCCTCTTAGGACTCACAAACACGACTTCCCACTTGCGCGTGGATAGAAGATTTCCAATGACGAGATGGTGCTGATATCGATCAAGACTGTAGCGAGCCTTGCGAACAAGAAGCGCTGGGTCCGTCTCAAGCTTGAAAGACACAATCATGCCCTCTGGCGCCCATCCATCCACGAGATTCTTGAGAAACTTGGGGACAGGGTCGAGATCGATGACGAGGCGCTTTGAGCGTGGAACAGAAGGCGATGAGTCAAAGTTATCAAAAGTCTCTTCATCGTCTGGTCGCTTCTGCTCAACGGCGTTGGTTGACTGGATCTTGTGCTCGGCCATACGATCAGGAGGAACGAAGAAATCTGACACGGCTGCGGCGAGGTAGAGAAGACCTGACGGACCAAGAGGGCGCATGAGTCGGGCAATTTCTCGCAGCTCATGGAGATAGTCGACAATAGTGACAAAGGGCAGTGTGAGAAGCATATTGTCATCCCTCGCCTTGCGATACTTTCTCAACACCTCCTGCATCTTATCCTGCACCTCACTCCTCACACCAATTCTTCCACTTCCATCCTCAGTCAAAAAGTCCAGAAAGCAATCGGTAGCATGCGAATAATGTCGCGAGTACGGCAGCAGACTGAACTGACGATGGAGGAAGATGACGGCATATCCAGCTTCGAGAAAGTACTCGGCGCTCGTAGCACCACGAGTTCCAGCACTGAAGTTGTCGATGTACCGAACAGTCTGCTTCTCAAGAGGGACGGTAGTGCCGCCCGATGTGACGAGGACAACACGACGGCCCGCGGCGGCGTGAGAGGAGATGAAGCCAGCGGCGAGAGCTGTGTGGGCTGATAAATTGCGCGGAGGAGGGTTCTGAGCAAAGTATGTCTGCTCGGAAGCGAGGGCCTCAGCAGCGGTGTTGGCGGGTGTAGCCATTTTGTTTAGTGTTTATGAAGTGAACGCAATTCAGGCTGTGTGTGGTCAATGATTTGGCCAAGGTGAATGATTGAACAAGCTCCGGGGCGGAGATGCGGAGGTCCGGGCGGGCTGGCGGCGGCGGGGTTTGGTCTTTGACACCCGGATCCGGATCCGGAGACTAAGGTAGTGAGACGGAGAGAGCCTAGTAAGAATGATAATGAGATGATGATACAGGAATTGAGAGAGGATGAGGAAGTGGAAATTGAGAGTTATTTATGTTTAGGTAGTTTCTGGTTCTGGTTCTTTAGTAAAATGCCCCATCGACTGTGACGGATACTACTTACGCATTTATCATCCCGGTGGGTTTTGAAGTTGTGAGTCTGCGCTCCCTGCCCTGCAGCCTGCAGCTGTCAACGCCTGACCCTTCTGTAGCGTTGGTCCTGTACATTAAAGTCACTCGGCTTATCTTTTATAAGAAATGACTGCATTGCTCTTACATGACGCTGAATATGTCATCATTTCAATCATTTGCTGTCCAGAAGGCAGTGATTACTGATAAGCTGCAGTATACCTCGGTAACTAGTGCACTATCTCGGATCATATCATGTTCATTCCTGAGAACTGCCTATGAAAGCGACACTGGTTCCAAACAATCCGATGCTGTTGTAATTACTCTAAAGTTACTACAATTCTCTAGTTTATTGCAAAGGCTCTATTATTGACACGCTATCAACCCCTGTTCATTTGAGCGAGAGACGTGCAGAGCAGTGATGCGTAGAGGCGGAGAATGAGAGAAACCTCAGCAATCTCCATGTAATGAAGATCACAGTACAGGCTCTTGCAGATCCGCGAGAGCCTACACGGAAAAGGGTTTCTCAGCGAATACATCCTCATGATGATCTCATTCTTGAAGTCAATACAATTCGTGCGTCTAGAACATCTGCAGGCTCAGATGCAAAGGTTTTAAATGAAATTATTATGCGATAAATACTACCATTATGTGGGATATCAGACTATTAACCAATGCAAACATAAACAAGCCTCCATCCTATGCCAATAAACAACCGCAATTGCGCCCAACACCATACTGTGCTTTCATCATCCATGAAACATCACTCCTCCTTGTCCTTGTTCTCCTCATCCTCATCCTCATCATCCTCAGCTCCCCAATCTCTCCATCCCTGGCCCTGAAGCCAGCTAACTCCCTTTCGCCAGTTGGTCTCGCGGATTGCTTGGGCATCCTTCTCATAAACAACACCAGTGACCATGAGTGCCAGCATGAAGACCCAAACATCGCCACCCTTCATGCTCTTCCACCAGCGACGCTTCACGCCTACCTTCCAGAGGCTGTCGACACTGGCGCGGGCGCTATACAGGAACAGCCCACGGCCATTTCGTCGCTCAACGAAAGCCCAAAGACCAGCGAAGAAACCACCGAGGAAGACACGCTGAGTCGCGAGGACGTGGCGTGGAAGCCATTGCTGGAAGAAGCAGATCGAAGCCCAGGCTGTAGAGAGCGCACCTGTCGCAAAGGTAGACATGCGGAGGGCTTTGGTGATGATGCGCTGGAGGGTAGCCAGAGGGTTGTGGTAAAGGCTGGAGAATCGGGGAATGACGGTGAGCGCAGAAAAGACTGCGACGAAGAAGCGAGCAAATGGCGGGAAAGTCTGAAGCCAGAAAGTGAGATAAGTTCGGGCACAAGATGGGTCTCCCGGGTGCAATGTGGCGCATGAGAGAGATGTGATAAGAGGATGAGCTCGAGATGTCAGTGGCGCAATTGCACTGAGACTGGGAGGAAGAACCTCCTTGCCAGGGAAGAGAGTGGGAGAAACATAGGCCCTATGACGGTCAGTATGAAGTCTTTTTTTCTCGGGGCTTATTAACTTACGGCCAGCTCAGGCGCGCCATTTGAGCCAAGCTGTCGACGATCTCAGAAGTCTGAGGCCACTTAACGCTCGACGGCCAGTCTTGCGGGCGCGGATGCAAGTAAGCCGATGAACTCTTGAAGATCAAATCTCCAAAAGGCTTGGGGAAGCAATCACGATCGAAAACAGCAGCGTGAAGAAGCTGTCCAAAAGCAAATGGCTGCAACATCCAGCTTCCGAACCACCAAGGCCTCTCCCTCTTGACGCCGTTCTTTCGGCCCCAGATGAGGCCATCAGCCTCACAGAAGTTGTAGGCAAACTCCAGAGCACGGAAGATCGTGTAAATGGCGATAGTGACACGCATCTTTTGTGCTGGGTAAATGCCAAGAGCTAGGCCAGCGAATGAGGCACCGATGGCGGGTGCAGAGGGAGACGTCAGCATCGCTGCAGTTCGGGGATTGCGGGCACGGAAAGGCTCGACTTGAGGGTCTAGAAGATGCACACGCAGTCGAGTGAAGAAACGGAAGAGGATTCTGTAAAGGAGAAGAATGGTAGAAAGCGAAATGGACAGCCTCAGAGCAGGAGATTTGTAAAACGGCTTCTTTTTGCCGCCAGTACTGGGTCTGTTGAGAATCATTAGCCATTTGCGCACTTATTTCATCAGTGAGCTACTCACTCTTCTTTACCCATCCTCTTCGCGACAATATCCCATCCCTTCATTCCGAGAAAAGTCATCACGAACACCCTGAGCGCATGTCGCACTGTCCTAGCGTTATAATCATCGCCACCTTTTGGTGGCTGCAGCGCCTTTTCAACACGGTTTGGCGTTGGTGTTGCGCGACGCAGCACGCGGGATCGAGAGAGAATGTACTTGTGCAGGCTCGCATATTCGTGAGCTGAGATGGTGTAGCGCAATGTGTTTCGAAGAACAGGGTCGTTGACAGCTCTTGATCGCGAGCTCGAGGCATCGCCTGAAGAGACGGATGATTCCATTGTGGTTAAGGAGCGGATGTTGTTGTTGTTGTTGATGATAAAAGGATCGTGTTTGGTTCAATTTATGGCGTGTGTGCGGTTCCACGAGCTGAGGTCCAGCGACGCATTCGAGCAGTAGCTCCGAGGAGAGGCATCAAGTAAATGAATAAACCAATTTATGTGAATTAGAAATGACCTGGACTTGGTTACACAGCTTCAGTGCTGAGGGGCCCAGATCGAAGCTCTCACATCAAGTCTGTTTGTTGATGAAGTGAAGTGACGAATGGTGGGAGGCACGGAAGGGATGAAATCACAAGAACTTGGAAATGAGCAAGACGACGTAAAGTGGAGAATTCGACCTCGGCTCTTGGTCTAAGCTGACCTTGCCCACTATCTTTTGATATCGAGACCCTGCTAAGGCTATCCCAGTTAATTAAAGCAATGCTCAATTAGCGAATGAAGACACGCGATATCGTTTCTTATGGGGTCGTCCAACAGGGGTTCCCCGCCCTCGGTAGCTAAGTTGCTCTTCTCCAGCCGTACATCACCATCACATGAAATTCATCTACACGTTCAACTTTCTGAACTACCTAAAGAGGCTTGACTCCCGATAACACGCCCACTATGCGCATGAAAAAAGGCATATCGTCATAAGGCACTTCACGTACAACGCATAAGTCAGTCTAGGGTATCAAACCAATCGTAAAAAGGCTACCTAATGCTATCTCTCAAATGAGAGACATAACGACGCATACTCCATTTGATGCCGAAACTA